ACCCAAACTCCTTTAGAATAAATTCAAATCCCAAATTTCTTTTAGCCGAAATTTCCAAAGGTCCCCAATTACTTAATTATTTCCAAAACCAAATCTTGCAACTTGGAAACAAATTAAAATCCCACCTCCTCTACAAGCCGTCGGCCCCTTGCTCTTTCCCGCCCCTCTCTCTTCCCCAATCTCATCTCTCTTTATCTCATTAGCTCCCCCACCTTTACTAAATCTGAAATTAATTTAAGAATTTTGTTTTGGTTCTCCTCACTTTTACTTGCAAGAGAAAACTACTTTCTCTTGCCAATCTTCAAAGAACCATAACAAGGTGGAAGGAGATCGGTACTCAGCACCCATGAATGACGGATCCGGCTACTGAATACGGTTTGACTTGGGACGAGGACGGCTTCTTCGACGTGAATCCTAGGATCAATCATACCGTCGTGGACAATTTGGAGCGCATTCTGGACACCTTAGTGGAAGCCATTGACGAGCACTTCAAAGGCATCGAGTGGAGGATCTCCACCACTCCTTGACGAGAGGTTCTCTTTTCTCCTTTTCATTACATTTCTTTAGTCAAACCTGATCTTGTGTTTGATTGTAGTCACAAAGTATGACTCACTATGCTACTGTTAAGCTTAGTAATCGTAGGGTTTGAGCGCGCTTTTATGCTTGCTAATTGTCATTGTTAGATTAGGGATTGTATGGAATCTACTACTACAGCATTAAGTAATTTACTAATTGTTTTGAAAGTTTTTCCAACTCTCTGGTTATGTAATTTAGCCTAAGCGGGTGTGACCCCTTATTCGTTTTATTTCATTGTTTTGAATTGCTGTAAGTTTTCTTTATCTTATTCCAATCACGAGTTGTGCAACTTCCTAATGAATTGATGGCATTCATAGGTAGTTCTGCATCATCTGGTATCAGAGCATGGTATGCTCTTGCATGTTTTAGGATTCCTGGTAGTTTTCTTTTCTGCATGTCATATTTGCACTGCTGTTATTTAGAAGACTGTTAGGTTGCTACCCTATATTTTTCTCCTATCATTTTACATCATATCTTTGTGTTTTACTCATCTTAATTGCTGCCCTTTACATCCTATAGTCTTGTTAGGAGTCTCGTAGTAACTTCCAATGGACCCAGAACAACTAGGAAGGACCTTAGACTTTTTGGTAGGACAAATGAACATCATTAGCCAGCAACTTAAGGAAAACCAGGCGGATCTAGCTGAGCTTCGTAGGAACACCACTGAGAAATTTGATACACTTGAGCGAGCTAGAGACCACCCTACTCCCTACACCCAATCTAGACCACCTTCTATATATGGGGATGAGACATACCCCGATGAGAGGCAGCATCATGCCAATCATCAAGCACCCTACCACGCATGATCCAGATTTGGATGAGAGGCAACACCGTGCCAATCATCGAGAACCCTACCACGGACATGACCCACGTCATGATCCTAATGCACCACTTATGAAAAACATTAAGGTTGACGCTCCTACCTTTGATGGCACACTCGATCCCCAGCTCTTCCTGGACTGGGTCAAAGGTATGGAAAGTTTCTTTAAGTGGTATGACATCTCCGAGGCTAGGAAAGTCAGTTTTGCGGAGATGAAGCTCACGGGTAGGGCGAGTCAGTTTTGGGCCAACTTAGAGAGTATTAGGGAAGTTAGGAATGAGTACCCGATTGTTGATTGGCCATCCATGAAGCGGGAACTCAAGCAGAAGTACTTGCCTCCGTCGTACTTCCCCCGCCTATTGGACAGGTGGAATAGGCTGACTCAAGACAACAAACCAGTGAAGGAGTACATCGCCTCTTTTGATGACTTCTTGATTCACTGCAAAGGGGAGACCTCTATCACCCCCGTGCAGATCTTATCTATGTTTTGTACCAGGTTGCGTGAGGATCTTCGCAACGAGTTGTTTGCCCGGAACGTCACTACACTGGAAAATGCCTACATACTAATGCTTGATCTAGAGGAGACCCGTTCTCAGCACCTGAGTTGTTCACATGACTCTAGACCCTCCTATAGATCAGCCGGTAGTTCCACCCCACACACTCCTGCTACTCGACCCACTCCTGGGAGCACGACCCGACCATCCACGGGTCCACCTACACCTAGATCTGATTTTAGAAGCAAACCTCCCACCTCGGATGCCCCTTGGTCCAATCCCGGGACCAAGTGCTTTCAATACCAAGGGTATGGGCATTTCGCTTCTCAATGCTCCAGCCCTTATAAAGTCTCGGTCATCGAGGAGATTACTAAGGACGATCTCGAGCCCGAGGTTGATCAGATCTACCAAGTCGAGGAAGAAGGCGAGTACTTTGAGGAGGAGGACAACACTACGGTCCTCCATTGCCTTCAGAAATTGGATACCTCTCCCATTTATGTGGTGAGATGCGTGCTATCCCACCCGACACCCACTGATGACTGACGTAGGAACTCGATTTTCCACACCTACACCAAGATCAAAGACAAGAACTACAAGGTCATAGTGGATAGTGGTAACTACATAAATGTTGTTTCCTCCAGCATGGTATCCCAGTTAGGTCTGTCGGTCGTTCCACCCCAACCCGTATAAGGTAGCGTGGGTCAACTCCATTGCCTTGGAGGTGAAAGAACGAAGCCACGTGCCCATCTCCTTTGCCACTTATAAGGAGAATGTCTAATGCGATGTGTTGACGATGAATGTTGGACAAATCTTGTTAGGTCGTCCATGGATCTACGATAACGATGTCCACATTTTTGGCGTTCGAACATCTGCGTATTCGAACATGCGGGCAAAAAGATTAAGCTTTTGCCATCGCAACCCCGGGTTACGGATGACACAAAATCCAACCCAGTCAAATCTAAGAAAGGAGTGTGACCTTGTCACCGCCAAGGTTCTAACTGTTGAGATTGCTCAAGGCGCCCCTCTTTACGCCTTAGTAGGCCGTGAGATTCCCACCGAATCTGACGAGCCCATTCCTCAAGAACTGCAACCTATCTTAGGGCAGTATGCTGATGTCTTTCCCAATGATCTTCCAGATCAGTTATCACCTCTTAGAGACATTTAGCATGCCATAGACTTCGTCCCTGGAGCCTCCCTCCCGAACCTGCCACACTATCGCATGAACCCCATGGAACATGCTGAACTTAAGAAGCAGGTTGACGAGTTACTGCAACGAGGTTTCATTAAGGAGAGTCTGAGTCCCTACGCGGTGCCGGCCCTTCTCACCCTGAAAAAGGATGGATCTTGGATAATGTGTGTTGATAGCCGTGTTATTAACAAGATCATCGTCAAATATCGATTCCCTATTCCGAGGCTTGATGATATGCTCGATATGATGACGGGTACCACACTATTCTCCAAAATTGATCTCAAAAGTGGGTACCACCAGATCCGGATCCAACTTGGAGATGAGTGGAAAACTGCCTTCAAGACCAAGGATGGTATCTACGAGTGATTAGTCATGCCTTTTGGGCTAAGTAATGCCCCTAGCACCTTTATGTGAATCATGACTCAAGTGTTGCGTTCTTTTATGGGAAAGTTTGTCGTCGTCTACTTAGATGACATTCTTATCTACAGTCATTCCATTAGTTAGCACTTAGGCCACTTGAGGCAAGTTTGTGAGGTCTTAAGGAAGGAGCAACTGTATGCCAACCCGAAGAAATGTACCTTCCTTGAAGATCG